ACTCACATCATTACTACAGTGCAACTTGTTATGTTCGGGAAATCTCGAACTGACTGTCAACTTGGCAATCAAAAGCACCTGATGATACTACATAGAGAAATAATGAAACACTTGATTGATATCATCTGCCATTTAGGAAAGCGGCAACTTGGCCTCTGTGGTCATGACGAAAGCGTGGATTCAATCAACCAAGGTAATTATGTGGAATTAGTTCACTTGTTGAGGAAATATGATCATAAACTCAATGTTTACCTTGAGAAGAGTATAGTATTTACAGGTTTATCGAACAGAATACAAANTCTATTTTTAATTTTCTCTTGTAATTTTGATGCATACTGTATCAATTGTTCCCTGCTTCTTCATAGAGTAGTTCTGCATTATAAAATCACTCCTGCTTCTAGCACTTGAAATATTTTCACATTCTCTGGTGTCATAAACCAGCTGGAAGCAATAAAATCATTTGGTTATCTGCTGGCAAGTTTCACATCTTTGTTGCACCCTCCAGATATTCAAGTCTTTTAACTAAAGGACAGAAAAGTAAAAGCATTGCAGTTCAAGGAAGGATACAGAGTCTTTGTTCTCTTCTTCAGTACCAAGTCCTTCCACTGCATTTGAGATAGAATATTATCCTTTTTGAAGTCGTAAAAAAAACACAAGCTACAAGGTGCGATCAGTTTTCTGTGAGTTCATGGTGAATTCCAATATTGTAGTTTCATATCATCATAAAATGGCAATGATACATTGTTTGGAAGGCAACTGAAGTGCAAGATATGTGACGTGGGACTATGCATTTTCAGGTGCTTCAAGGGGTAACCTTACAAAGGTGAGAGAGAGTTACATGATATGGGGGTAGAACCCTATATACGGATGAAGCAGATAACTACAAAATGGTATGTACATAGAATTTTAATATATTAAAAACTAAATCTATAGAATGGGGCGTTTGCTTCTACTAATGGAGTGTGCGCGCGCTTCCACTATCAAAGTTTAAATGCCTGACTGCACAAATTGGTATACTTCGGCCGCTTCAACCATACTCATTACTGTACCGATCGGTGCACTTCGGACATTAAAGGTTAACAGCTCAGCAGAAGTTACTTTCCAAATAGCCTTTGTGTATGTCCTGTTTTATGACTAAAACATTATTATTCTGGTTCACCCACACACCTGATCATCTGCAAACTTGAGCAGCAGAGCTGTGGGATCAACTCCAGGAGTCAAGATGAAGATGAGTGGAACACAACAGTTTGAGTCATTGAAGGATGAAGCTAGGTCAAATGTAGGTGGCTCCACATATTCCTTCCCCAAGTTGTCTGTAGTTGATAAAACACAGAAACATCATTGTCATCATCATGAGTCCCAATATTACACAGAGTTTGTGTGGTATATGAAACAAAACTCTCCTTTCTGTTTAGAGAATTTCTTTATGTCATCTTCTGCCTCTGAAATTATCTTTTATATATCTTTGCGAACCTGTCATAGCTCATTCTTTCAATGTGCTGTTTCTTTTTTATTATTTATTCTTAAATACAGATCACGAATCTGGATTTCAAGGTTCACATGTAACCCCTGGCTTCCTTCTGTATGGCTTTCAACCCTCAGAAAAATATCATGCCCTTCCAAATGTGGCCTTATTTACAACTTATATAATATGTTTGAGTTCATGATGTGTATTTGTACCAACCGTCTTACAGTGCACACAATTTCACCTTTCTCTTCACTACATGTTTCGGCACTAATGTGCCATCTTCAGGTGTGGTTT